CATTAAAAAGACATGTATTGACTTTCCGAAGACATTTATGAATGTGATTAGTCCTCCCTATGCGATAAATCATAACCCGTCAGTTTTAATTTTTTGTTTATTTTTTGCTTGGTTTTTTTTCCTTCTATACCAAGCCAGGAGAAAATCCACACGGAATCTATAGAGATGCTTTGAGAACGTAACCAATTGAACTGAACTGGCAGAGGATCGTTCGCAAGCTGGCCGGTGTTATATTTTCGCTTGGTTTTAAGGGCTGCGGGATCAAGCCCTCAGCTCGAGCTCTTAGCTCCGCACACCTAGCCCCAGAGTAGCCCCCCCCCCGCTCCCGCGCACACTTAGTGGGAAAGTCAGGACGTTTGGATATAAGTCGGCGGAGGAGTTTATATGGAGAGGGGGTAATTTGTAAACGCACAAACCGCGGCTTGCTGAAGTCAGCTTCATTTGCAAGTGAGTACAAGCTATTCCCGACCTCCGCTCCTCGGAGGGATTGCCTCGGCTCGATTTTCATCCCGACCTTCTAACTATGTTTACGGTTTTCCGTAAGACTTGCTTCTTAATAAGCCTGCTTGGGATTTCATGCCTAATTTGAGGTGCAAGGGAGAGTAATTCCCTGTGAATCTGCCTTCGTTTTTATAGAAACAGCCCCAAAACTGCCCGGCCACCGTCCATAGTCAAGGTGCGTAGTTGTCCCCAAGGATAGCTGATTTTTTGTACTCGAGGCAGAAGGTTCTCCTCCCACCAGAGCCTCTCACCTTATCTGGCAATTTTCCAAAAACGCAACAATAATAGTTAATGTATCATCATCATCAATTAGCTATTTCCTGCCCTTTCATTGTACTAGCAAAGAGCTACTTTGAGGCAGTCAACTCACTCTGCTTAAAACAATGGCGGGCAAATCGGACAAAAGAAAGGTGCTCAGGATCTGGGTGTCTAAAAGGCGCACCTTATGCAAGTCTCCCTAACAATTATTCTGCTTCCCTCATCCCGCAGGCAAAGGCGTCGGGACCCGGAAGCAGTTAAGTAACTGTCCTAGCTCTCTCTCTCTCTCTCTGTGTGTGTGTGTGTGTGTGTGTGTGTGCGTGTTGGAGGGATGAGTTCGAAAGCGGGTCACTGATTCAAATGAGCCCAAGGCTATTCCCGCTTCCACAGAACTCCTTGGCAACATTCCGGTGTGGAATGCTGAACTCCTCCTTAATTCACCCAAAACATATTCTCAGTGCGCAATCCTATCCATGCCCGTTTAGAAATTAGCCCCATTGAGTACAGAACGGCTTTCTATCAAGCAAGCAGCCTAGGTTACAGACATGCAGTGTCCAACGCGGGTTAGAATCTGTTTTGGAACCGGTTTTAGTGCTCTGAGAAGGAAAGGTTGCACAGAGGCGCAAACTACCCTCCAATTCCAAAAGTAACTTAGACTTCTCTGAGGATACCCGGCCTTCATTTCAATGGCCAGGCCCGCACCGAAAGCTCCCATTTATACACAACCCCCACGGCCAAATTCAAAAGAAGCCTGCAGAAAGAGGGATTGCAAACCCTTCAAGTTCAATTTAGGGAGCGAAGGGTTTGCCGGGGAATAAGGTTTTAAAATGTAGGCACCACCATTTACAGATTCCATGCATGCTTATTTTATTTGTCGTTTTCCTATTGCGCCCTCGCTCTCCTAAGAGATCGCAGAGCTGCACAGAACAATACATTCCTACTTAAAAACAATAAAAATCATTTAAAACCTCGAACAGATCCTCATTAATAAAAATAGAAGCAGATAAGCAAGGAAACGCGCTCGGCAAGGGTCGGGATTACTCTGAAGAAACTGTCCTGCGTATAACCCAAGGCATTCTTACACTGGGAGTGAAGTCCCCTCGAACTCGGGGGACTTCCTTCCCAGGAAACAAGCAAAGGAATGTCTAGAATAGTTAAAGTAAATCGGAATGAATTCAGGAGGAAGCGCGCAGAGGATCAGGCTGGCCAGGGACAATCCGGGCGGAAGGGAAGCGGGGAGCCCGTGAGGCGGACTGAATACAGCCTTGCAAGAGCCGCGGTGTCGCACCCAGAGCAGCGCTAGCCGCCTGGCAGCGGATCATAGAACTGTGGACATGGAAGAGTCCCAAAGGGTCATCTATCCCAACCCGCTACAATGCGATAGATGGTGGGAGCCTCCACGTGCTCCGAAGAGGTGGATCGGGTCCAGCGCGTCAGCAGAGACTCAGGGCTCAACTTTCCTGCCTCGGAACAGATCGTACCGATCTCCCTCCGAGTGTTGTGTGATGACATCTACCTGCATATGTCTGCACGTTGTGGAAGCTTGGGAACGGGCTTTTTCATTCCGTTCTGCAAAGGCCGCTCTCTCCCCTAACATTTTTTCTCTCCTATCAGCCAGTGAAGCCATTTTAAGTCGAGTGACATCCCCCGTAGATTCCACTGGGGCATCCTTCTCGTGAGCAGGAAAGATCCCGGCCGAATGCAAGGTGGTAGACCAGGAGGGGTCTTTGGCTCGGGGTCCTAGATCTCTCATGCCCCTTCCTCTCAGTTTTTACAAACTTAAAAAAGGAAGGTTTTTCTTAAAGGACGGCTGAGTGCTTTGCAAAACACCATGCGGGTCCGGCCCCAAACACCCACCATCTTAATTTACACAAAGGCGTATATACTTTTAAAATTAGCCTATGCAAACGCTGTGCACATGTATATTATTGGCCGGTGCCAAGTATTGAGCAGGGTCCATCGTGTAAAGCTTATCTAAAGGTTGTGGCTTTTCTGCACACTTCCATCTTTACCACATCTCTTGTGGCCGGCGCGCGCGCACACACACACACACACACACACACACACGTGTAGGGGAAAGAATAGGGCGACCACCTTTAGCCCTCCCCGTCAGCGAGGGGAGCCTTACAGAGCCGGCTTAACTGTGACTAATCAGAAATAAGTCCTATTGAATTCAATGGGGTTAACTTTCAGGTAAACGGGGTTAAGACTGCAGCCTTAATTGACTATTCCACAGTCACGCACTTCCGAAGGACTTGGATGGATGAATCCGCCTTCCATCCGAGGGCTTCGGCTTTAACTGGGTTCAGGATCCGGCAGGGGACTTCTCTTTTTGGTAGTTACTGAGGGACTACAGATTCTCCGGGCTTCCTCCGTCAGCGGAATCGTTCCTTCCTTTCAAAAACCAGCAAGCAGCCTCCAGCGCTGTGAAATTCCCCTCCACTCCCCAATTAGTTTTCCTCGCGGTCCTGTCAGCCTATTTTCCTAATCTTACACATGCAAAACTGGACTGAGATCAAAAGTTTGCAGGTAGCCCTGACGGTGTCCTGACCGGGGGTGGGGAGAGTTCCCAAATATTACAGCCTGATAAAACTGTCATAAGGACAGCATTAAACGTCACAGAATAGTTTTAAAAAAAAGAAAAAGTCTGGAGAACTCGAAACCTTGCCCACTGCTCAGTTGAAATGGATGGGGCTTGCTATCAAGTAGCTGCGTTTAGGATCCCTGGTCAAGAAAAGGCCGCTTGGCAAACGAACAAAGCCAAAGGTCTGAAAGAGGCGGACCCTCCCATAGCAGCAACAGAGTGACAATTAAAAGAATCGAACAGGGATCACTGAAAAGGAGAGTCTGCCCCCAAATAGGATAATTATGAAAGGGGCATTCACATCTCTGCGCATTTGCTTGGAAGTAAGCCCTCGTCATCCTCGCAGAATTTGCCTCCAAATAAGGCTGCAATTCTTAAGCCTAATCACCAGGAAGTCGGTCCCCACTGAACCACGCTGGAATTGACTTCAGAGTAGCCATGCTAAGGATCAGGCTGCTGTTGCAAGCGAGCTTAAGAAGAGCACCGTGCTCGTGTCAAGAAGGAGGCATTCGCCCCAAATGACCTCGCTCTCCGAAATTAAAAAGAACAGCGCGAGCATCTGATATTTCTTCGCACTCGCAGACTTCTCCCGCCCGCCTCTGATCTCTATCATCTGTGCCTTCCATGATATCGGCAAGCCGCAATTCTGCATGCATGCATCCCTGTTCTCTTGTGAACAAAAATGTGTAAGGAAACTCATACCACTACGCATAAAAAAGTCTTTAAAGCGCCACGGGCATCTTCTTCAACGCACAAAGACGCCAGAATGGGAAAAACATTAAAAGCGTGCAAGCAAACCATCACCCTAAGCAAGGAACGCCGGGCTTAAGCTACTTGATTAGAGTTTACAATAAAAGTTTGATGAGACCTGGCTCCAAATACGCTCTTTCTACTTTACCTTTACTTTACCTTTTGTTTACTCTCTTTCTAAAGCCAGCCACGCCAGGTAATGTGCTTCTGCAGCCATATGTCCTGGGGAGAGCGCCCTGTTGCTTTCATTGGGATATAGATCACCTGGACTGTTGGCCAGCGCTCATAATAAGCACAATGGCTTAGCGGTAAATTCCGCCGCAATCAATGGGACTTACTTCTAACCAAACGTGGTCGAGAAGGCCAGGCTGTCAGGTACCGCAGCCCCTAAAACGCATTGACTTGGAAATAAATCCCAGTGATTTCAGCAGAACTTACCTGGAAGGAAGCATCACTGATACTCCAAATAAAGGTGCTTAAGATAACCAGCTGTGGTTATTATCATTATTTTTCAAAACAAGTAAGCCTTAACACAATTGAAGCGTGCCCAACAGAAAGTAAATTATTTCCATTGTATTTTCAGGTGACCAAAAACCGGGGCGAGCAGAGACGGGAGAAGCCGTTTAGACTGAGGACTGTATTTTAAAGTCTTTCTTTCCCCGAATTATGTCGTTTTTTAACGATTGGAGTGGGTGGGGGAGCGTTGCGGGGAGAAGGAATAACCTAACCAGCGACTGAGGGCCTGACAATTCTACACACGACCATAAAAACCTTCCAAATGCTGTTAGCAGCCGTTCCACCAAAATCCACACGTTAATTACCAAAGCGTCACTTTTTAAGGTGAGTCAGAAAGAGGATAAGCCAATTAAATTATTAAATATTTGACAAAAGGAAAATCAAACTCTAGTAAAAGAGAACAAAACCACATTTTATTGGAGACTATACAATGCTACGATATACAATAAAAGTGCTAGGTTATTCTAGAAAAGTTGGTCCCGGGATGGCAGAATACCAAATATCTATTTGTTTACACAGACACTGAGGAAATCATTAATACCTGCCCCCTCCCCCAATTAAAAACACATTTTCCCCCTACATTAGCTCTCCCAGGGTTTAGGATTGCAACTCTGTTCGAAAAAGAAGATGATAAGAATCTAACGGAGATTCGTCTGGGTCAAAAAATATTTAAAAATCACTCTTAACATCCATTGAAAAATAATAATAAAAATAAAAATATAACAATTGCATTTGGAAAAATAGTCTCCATTATTATTACTATTAACAATAATTTCGGGAAACAGTCTTGTTTTGTCCGAATAATTATAGTCTTGTATAAAATTACTCTATCTTGAGAGAACGCTTTCTATTAAAAAAAAAATACATATACATATACACCTATTGTTCCCACAACTCTTCTCAAATCACCTCCGCGTTTCAACAATCAAATCAACATGGCTACTAGATACTGTATAAAAGGCTGTTCTTGCTCAAATACAGTCTCCAAATAAGTACTACTTTGGATAGAAACATAAATCTTTGAAGAAGTGCAATATTCCCCTTAGGAAATTATAATAAAAATAATCGGTTATCACCGTGAATGAGATCAGACTGGCAAAGAGTTAGTGCCTTACACTTGTTTAATTCCGCATCAGCAGAATTTCAAAATACAGGGATCACCCCCCAAGGCAGTTTTTCAAAGGAGTTTTTCCTCAGCTTTAATTTGAACGTTTGGACCCCGGTCCTAAATTCATTCCCTAGGAATTGAACCGGTTTTCCTCGCTCATCCCCAAATATATTTTGGAGCAAAATCTTGTTGAAACTGTTTTGGGCCGAACTACCCGACCAAGTGTATCCGAGGTGTGAATTAAACTGACAAGGAACAACTGCTTTGGCACCTCTAAAAATACACTTGGAATTAAATTAAATTCCAAGTATGCAGTGTGCGTGATTTGAGTTTTTCTTCATCCTTTCAAATGAATTTTCATCCGCAGTGCTATGCTTAAAATAGCCACCTCACCTGGAAAAATAGTCTAGTAAAATTATTCCATTTATGGTTGGCAGATGCCATCAAATGCAATCCTATCTTATTATCATTAATCAGATGGCTGTGGATTGCAAAGTGGATCGTGCTTAAACCCTGCCGCTGTTAAAGGGATGTAAACGCTGGAGCATATTGTTAAATTAATTTATTTCAATGGGGTTTTCTCTGCCTTCTCCATTTGCTGGACGGCTGAAGCCCCATCTTAACTTTAATAGGATGTACTTCGCAATAAACCTAGCTGACTTTTTCTGGCTAGCGCCAGGAATTCTGCAAAAAAAACGGAATTATTTTTCAGTGCTTTTGTTCAACCCGGCGGCAGAGCAGCTTATTGCTTCGGCACGTTCCCTCCCTAACTCGACAGACCTCTTCTAGTTTAAAATTCTGTCCCTAACCCACTAAGCGCTTCCCTCCTCTTCTATTTTTCTATCCCCCCCCCGAAAAAATAAAAATAAAAATCCCCCACCTTCACTCTCTTTAAACTCCCAGCGAAAACAACGAGACCAATACCTCGACCATAAAGAGATTTACGTACCAGTGAGCAACACTTCTAACCAACAACACTTCTAACCAAACAGTGCTTATGATGGGGATATTAATTTCAAGGAAATGCAAAAAGAAAAACAAAAGGCAAATACTGTTCGGCCACCCTTATGTGCGCGCGCTAACCCTAAAACCCAGTGAAAAAAGAAACGCAGAACCAAAGGACCCACGGAGCTCCTGCAGCAACGAGGATGTGCGTGGAAGTCCTCTGAACTTACGCTGCCTTCACGGAGAGGATCTGTATGAATTCAGGCACACAGGACTTGGGCGAAGGGGGGTTGGCGCGCGCGTGGTTCTCGTTTTGGCACTCAAAGTCACTGTCCCATTTCAGCAGCGGGTGGGGGGGGGAGGGGGAATTACAAGAGGGAGAGGGAGAGAAATCCAACATGATGATGATGATGATGATGATGATGATGAAGGGGATGCCGAGGACGAGGGCGCTTCTTCTTCTTCTTCTTCTCCTGCCTGCCTGCCGTCTCTCTCCCGGACGGGCCCTCCACTGGCTCAGATGTCTATCCGGGAGTGCAAGGCGCTGTGCTTGCTCTCGTGGTCCCAGTAGGAGCAGTGCATCATGGCCAGCTCGGGCGGCTGGCGCCCGGCGCACGCGAACTGCAAGCCCGCCGGCCCGTTGGGCGAGCCCTGCGGGGAGCCGCTCCCTGCCGTGGCGGCCGCCGCAGCCGCCGCCGCCGCCGCCGCCACGGCCGCCGCTCCGAGCTGCTGGGCGGCCGCGGCCGCGTGGTGGTGGTGCTGGTGGTGGTGGTGCGGGTGGTGGTGGTGCGCGTGGTGCGCGTGGTGCGGGTGGTGGTGGTGGTGGTGGCCCCCCATGCCGTTGTACGAGTTCACCATGGCCGGCAGGCGGGAGTAAGGCCCGTACGCTGAGGCGGCGGCGGCGCCTCCAGGCCCGGCCGCCAGGCCTACTCCCTTGACGCCGCCGCCGCCGACCGGGCTGAGGGGACCGCCGCCTCCGCCGCCTCCCGCCACCGAGCCGCCGCCTCCGCTCCCGGCGCCGGAGCCGCCCGCTCCCTCCGACATGGTGCAGGCGGCGTAGGCTCCCGCCTGAGGCGCCTGAGGCGGCGGCGGAGGCGCGGGCTGCGCCAGGGACCAAGAGGCGGCCGCCGCCGCCGCGTTGAGGAAAGGCGCCTGCAGGTACTTGGCGGGCGGCGCCGTGAGGTAACCGTAGCCGGCCGCCTCGGCCGCGGCGCCGAAGAGGCTCTTGCCCGGCTGGAAGTGGCCGGCGGGCGGGCGGAACGGCCTCTTCATGCGGCGGCGGCGGCGGTAGTTGCCCTTCTCGAACATGTCCTCGCAGGCCGGGTCGAGCGTCCAGTAGTTGCCTTTGCGCTCCCCGCCGCCCTCTCGCGGCACCTTGATGAAGCACTCGTTGAGGCTCAGGTTGTGGCGGATGCTGTTCTGCCAGCCCTTCTTGTTCTTCTCGTAGAAGGGGAACTTGCCGATGATGTACTGGTAGATGCCCGACAGCGTCAGGCGCTTCTCGGCGCTCTCGCGGATGGCCATGGCGATCAGCGCCACGTACGAGTAAGGGGGCTTCTGAGACGGGTCGCCCTTCTCCGCAGGAGGCGCCGACGCAGCCGAGGCGGACGCCGATCCCGCCGGGGAAGCCTTGGCAGGGGCAGCCGGGCTCAGCTCGCTCTTGGCAGCCGCCGACTCGCCGCCCAGGCAGGGCTCCTTGATGGCCTGGTGCTGCTGCTGCTGCTGCTGCAGGAGAGACACGGCGTCCTCGGGCCCCGCGGGGTCTGGGTAGCCAGTGGCCATCATGGCACCACCTGCGGCTGCTGCGATGGCTGCGCCCCTCGGAGGCGCCTTCTTCTTCTTCTTCAGGGGGTCTCTTGCGGATCCCGAAGGAGGCTCCCCTCGATCTCTCAGGGCGATCTGCTGACAGCGCCTGTCCCGCCTGCCTGCTTTAAGTCCTGCCTGAGTCTGGTGGGCTTTTTGGTTCTCTTTGTCCCCCACCCACTTCTCCTCCTCCTCCTCCTCCACCTCCTCCTCTTCGCTTCTGTCTCCCTTGCAAGAGGCAGCCTCTGATCAGCGGGCTCAGATATCCACTCAACTTCTGGACGAGCTCTCCTCTGATTTGTATGGGCTCCGGCGAGTTCCGCTTTCGTCAGGATCCCTTTTCTCCCATCGCACCCCCCCCCCGTCTCTCTCTCTCTCACACTCACTGTGCCACCCCCTCCCCCGCCCGTCCCACAAGCCTGGGAGCCAGCTGGGCACGGGCGAGTTCATGGCGAAGTCAAACCGCGCAAGTCCACCCCAGCGAGGAATCCGGAGGCTGGAGCCCCCTGGGGGTCCCAGAGCAGAGGGAAGGGCGGGGGTGGGAAGAGGCGAGGGCAAGAATCCACGGCAGGAGAAAAAGAAAGAAGCTGCGTCTCTGGCGACTCCTGCACGAGGCAGCTTAGGAGCAAAACAAGTGAGGAGAAGGGGGGGGGTTGGTGTGGGGAAAAACATTTCTCTTCTTTCCACGCTGCAAAGAGATTGCAAATTTGCAAGGGCGATCTGTCGACTGGGGAGGTAGGGGCTCCTCAGTGAGCCGGGATGGATGGCTGGCTGGGGGCCGCTGACGGAAGCCACCATCTCAGGGATGTCCAGCGAGGTTGCTCTGGAAAACTTTAGGCTGGGAACGCGAGGCAGTTTTGAAGGACCTCAGCTTGGAAAGGTGACAACGTCTTGCTGCAACGCCTGTTTTCCAAAGAAGTGTTGCTATTATTGTCACCTTGTTTGAGAGTACAAAGTTGCACGCCCTGCTCATATATTTTAAGGAAGCTAATACATAGAAGGGGTGTCAAAATCCTCTCCCTCTCTTTCTGCCTGTCTATCTTGTCCATCTTCTAGAGACAGAACGAGCCGCGTGATTTCTACTTAGAATCGAGTTCGGGCGCCCTTCCCACTTGACACATCAAAATATAAATATCCCACGCATATTGGGGCTCTGTCCTTGCAACCTTTTAGTTCACCTTAGGCGTGCACAAAAGCAAACAAGCCCTCTAAGAGCTCGCTTCGCTGCCGGCTCCGGACAAGATGTTTTTCAAAAACATGTCATTCAGGTATCACTTGTTTGTTTCTAGATTTCAGAGACATCCTCCAGGTCGGGGGGGGGGAGTCAGCAGCGAGACAAATAAATAAATCAGCGAATGAATGAGGAGAGTGGGGAGCTGGGGGAAAGGAAGAGCTCGAGGAGGCTGCTGTTTCCCCGGGTTAATTGGTGCCTAGGAAAGGGCCTCCTCCTCGAGCTTTCCTTCAGGTGCTCCAGTGCCTTCGGGCAAATCCCACGCACAGGCCGGCCTTGAAGCCTCGATCTCTGCGAGGCCTTGGACCGAAGCCTAGCAACCGAGTTAGCTACCAGGCCTTCGATTTTCTGATGTTTCTCCAATAGAGATGGTTCACTTCCACGTTCCCGTGACCCCTAAACAACTGCTCATCTTGTTCTCAACAGCCACGGGCCTGTGAGGATCCTTTTACTGTCCTTCTTTGCCATTCATTTCGTATGGCCACTTGGGACCATCAGGTCTTGCATTTCCGCTTCGAATGTACATAATTTCATTCATTCTGGGCACGACAGTCCTCGCCGCCCTCACTTCCAGAAGAGAAAGGGGCTCTGTCAAACGCAGTTCTTGCGCACTCTGTAATTTTCTCTCCTGGAAAGGGCTCTTGTGACTCTGTTCAGCCATTCAGCTGCGGGGCTTTGTAGAGATTTTAACCTTGGGTGGGTAGGCCCTTGAATCAGGGTAACTTGCCCGCCATGGTTTATGTAGCCTGTTCGGAAATTATGCACGCTTGATTCTGGGGAGTGGAGCATAGAGCTAAATACAATGGGAAATATCACCACGCTGGTTCTGCCCCCGTATATAATATTTGTAAAAGAAGAAGAAAAACCCATTGGTGTCAATGGATCTCAACAGGCACCTAAATGATCTCTTTCTGTGGGTGCTTTTGTGTTGTGTGTGTGTGTGTGTGTGTGTGTGTAATTTATGATTATCTTATTGCGTTCACACAACTGGATTTCTTTGTAACTGTACCTGATGCTTTTTTAAAAAAATGGAATGTTTGACAATTAGTTTCTAATAAATGCACATGGCAATAGTTCCGTTCCCTTTGTCGGAATCAATAAAATCAGGTTTATTTGATATCTTCCTGATTTAAAATGTTAAAGACTGAGGTGACCAAATTGTGGCAGGTCACTAACAGTCCCAAACGCATTTACCTCCAAATTTCATCATTTTCACTAAAACTTTCATTCCAAGTTAAGTGTGACTGTTTCTCGCAGCTTAAAAAGTCACATGTTAAAATATATGCTGTTTCCTATTGGACGCGTAAAAAAATCAAACAAGTTTTACGACTTGTTCAGCCATCGAAAAAGAAAAAAGAAGCTTTACTTAGAAGGAAGCCCAAATGTATTTAATGGGATTTACTTCCAATTAAGTAGGCTTAGGACTGAAACATTGAAACAGGAGTCTCCTAAGAGCATATTGTTTGTACAATGTATCTCCCAACAGCAACCGCAGAAAGTACTGCTCTCTTTTCCGTTAAGACCTGTATCTTTGTATACTTACATACGCTGATAACACTATTACAGCCTAGAAGGCAAATAAAGCCAAAAGTTTTATTGAACAGAATGAGACTGTCGGTAAAGATCAGGAAGCCCCTGAGTCAATGTTTCAACTAAGACGAGGTACATAAAAGGACAGAAGTTTTTTTTTTTAAAGCGCATTATTTTTGGTTTGCAACCGAGGTGCTAAGGATCTATCTTCGTGTGCTTCTAATGGAGTGCATATTTCTATTGGAGTCATCTCTGTTGGAATCCCTTCTGTTGCTTTTCTGGAGCTTGGGTGTTTAAAGTGAGCTCTCGGATTTAGATCAGCCCCTTCCTGAAATCTTAAGCCCAGAGAAGCTGGCGGGGAAACCTCTTTCCCACGTAGGACGCCAAGCACGCACCCAAAGGCTCTGTGGATCCAAATAAGCTGCGAGGCTCTGCCGTCCTGTGCGCATTTACTGGGAAGTAAGCACCGCCGACTCAAGAGGGTCTGATTCCCGAGGGCCAGCTGGGCTGCTCTGGAGCAAACCGGCCCGAGGGTTTTGCAGCAGCCTGGCTTCCCTTTTGCTAAGCAAGCGGGCAGTCCCTGCTTCTGGATCCGACGGGGCTGGCCCCCCGACGGAAACCGAGCGCTCGGCCGCCTGCTGGGATTCAGAGCCGCGGCTGCTCTTTCTTTCGGAGGCCGGTGGCGTGAGCTAGTGAGGGCCAGTTCCTTCCCCCTGACCACCCAGGCTGGCCGGGGCTGCTTCCCCCACCCCGCCCCGCTCGCAGGCATTTCCTTCCGCAGGTGTAGCGGCAGCATTGTGCTGTGTGTCATCACCTCCGCTAGACTGCAGAGCCCTCCCTTCCCAAGCCTGGAAAGGCGGCGGCGGCGGCGGCAACAGAGGCAAGCGCGCTCGGCCAAAGGGTGGCTTTCTGGGGAGTCTCTCTTTCTCTCTCCTCACACGCTTCAGTGGGATCTGACAGGAAATCAGAAACTCAGGAGGAGGAGGGCTGAAATGGCGAAGAAGGTGAGGGGACAGCCGTGGGTGTCTCTGCCCAGCGCGCAGGGCTGACACGGAATGACTGGCGGGGGTCACTGTTTCGCTCAAGGAAAATCTTTCCTTGCTCCCTCTCCTCTTCCTGCAGACTGGCAGCCAGCCCCTGCTTGGCAAGCCTTCCTGAGGATATTGATATTATTATTATTATTTTAAAAAATAATGGTAGGATCCATCCAGCTTAGCTTTTCCAGAAGCAATCTAGTTGTTTATGGAATAGGTTGGATCCGAAGGAAGTGACAGCGCATGTCTACTCAGGAGCAAGCCCCGCTGAAGCCAACTAGGCTTACTCCCAGGTCAGGGAGCAGCAAGGTCTGCAGCTGAACTCGAGACTGACTTTCTCCGCAGGTTTCTTGGGGAACTAAGCGCCGCTTCCAGTACAATCTACTGAGCATGCCTACTGCAGAGTAAGCCACACTGAGGTCAATAGGACTTACTCCCAGGTAAGTTTATCTAGGTTGGTACCTAATTTGCTCTGGCTGTATCCAGCCTGTAAATATTAAGCGTCCAGGGATCGAGATGTTATTTCCCTGGCATTGACTTCGAGGTCACTCTTATCAAGGCTAAGGGATAACTGTATACATCAGCAGGTTTAGCATCTTCCGCAGATAAATAAATTTCTTGAAGAGTTGATTTGTGAAACCTCTCTCTTTGAATAGGAGGGCTCACCCCGCAAAAAAGGAAAAGGGGTGCAATCAGTTTTAGATGCCCTTAGATTCTTAGGGATGCCACTGTTCCATCCCTTTCTTTCTCCCCAAACTCAGTGCTAAAACGTCATGCAATTAGAAAGGACGTGCAATGCACAGAGGCGAAGGTATATCTGCGTTCAGCCAAAGTGGATTCTGGTTCACAAGGTCCAGTTCTAAAATTCATAAGCAATCGGGAGTGGGAGCTGAATTCCTGCAGAAAAGGCTGCGCACGCTGCAACTCACATGGCAGTTTAAGAGCGAGTAAGTTCCAATGACAGCAAGTTCCATTGAAGAGGGTCCGACTGAGCAAGCACGGTCAGGATCGCATTGCCAGGCACAAGTTTGTATCTGGATCTGAACCTGGAACTACTGAAGCCCACACGGAGGGCTTAGTCTTGGCATCTCCATCAGATTACGACCTGCTTTCTATCCAAATTAAACCAACGCACCGGGATCCGAGATATAACTGGATCTAGATCCAGTCGGTTGAAATTCAACATATTCAGGGCTAAGTAGAGCGACAGGTTTAGCGGGGTTTGAAATGTAAACTTGGAGATAAGTCATAATCACATGGATATCAAAAGGACACGCATAACAAGACTTCAGCACCTGAAATACTCCGGCTGCCGATACTACGGTTTATTGGCAATCGGGATAATCTCAAGAAGGGATAAGTCTAGGGCACAGATTATAGGTTTTCCAGGGGATCATATCTTTCTTTTGTCTAAACGACAGGATTCCTATTCCCCGAAAAATAGGTTCTGTCGCAATAAACCGGGCTTTACTTCTAAGTAAACCGTTTAGGATTCGGGTTAAACTTGGAAGTAAGGCCCTTACGACGTTTTCTTCAAAGTCACAGTTTAGGGTCGTGGTCGTCGTGGCGCAGTCTCCATCCCCGCTGAAAGGAATAGCCAGTCTTCCACGGGTGAATCCTTTTCTGCGCTTAAGAAGGAAGGGCAGATGAACGAAAATCATGCTGAGTTGCTCTGTTAGCTGTAGAAAGCTGGAAAACCATATTGCCTAGATGCTCCCGGGCAATTCAGGAAGTAGCCAAAGGGGAAAAATCACATTCATTTCATTTTAATGACCCCGGCTCAGGAAATATTAATTGCTTTCAATCACACAGATTGACTCAGGGTGATGAGTAAAATGGTTGGCTTGGATCAGGGTATTCACAGAAACAATATTTTGAAAGGGAAGAAAACCACGGAATACAAAGCATAATAATGATAATGGTGATTATGATGTTTTCATTGTGTGCGTTTTTAACCCAAATATCACAACAGTTCTTTTCTTTTTCTTTTTTTTAAAAAATGGTGCTCATTTATTGCCTTGCTTCTGTTGACTAGAAATTCAACAATTTCTAGGCCCCACTGAATGCAGTGGGTTTTACCTCCGAGTAAATACGCGATGGTTCCCTCTGTTTAAGTAGCACTGGTCTCAGAAAGAGAGAGAGTTAAGCGCACAATTAATTCTTCAATTGACAGCAATGGAAAATACGACTAACTTCGGCCGGATCTTATGTCAGGGTTGCAAGGTGGTGCGCGCGTTTTAAATAAGATACTGGGGATATAATTTTTTGTTCTTGTTCTTGCAGACAAGACTCAAGAAATGCAAGGCAAAGTGAAGCGGCTGCAATACCAAAAGCGTGAAGGATCCTGAAAACCTATTAAGATCAATTCCTTATTGAACGGAGGCTATTGCCCTTAAAAAAAACCACAACCGTTTCCAGGGGTGGCTTCGAGGATAACCAGCGAATTTGGACCATTCAGATTAAATTTCTCACACATTGACGGCTAAGGCACAATGGAAGTTCTTTACCATATCTCATTTCTTTCATCTCATGTTTTTGTTAAAAGATGACATGGCGGGTTAAATGACAGAAAACACGGATATAGTAGAAATTACCGAAAAGAACAAGCCCGCTTTGAACATCCTCAAAATTCCTCGACAGGTAAAGAAATGAAATCTTATGATGGTAATGAATTCACCTTGTGGGGAAATCAATGATTTTTATAAACTCATTTTAAACAATTATTTTAATTTATGAAGGCTAAGACACCGAGAGTATAACAAACAGATCGTCGACACCACTGTAACGTAATCTATATCTGAATTCAGAGGGTACAACGACAGCAACTAGCCTGGCCACTGGATCAAATAATATTTCAACCTGAGCCAAGAAGTCCCATCTTTTCCGCACGTTTGAGTTTGTGGTTAAAGTTAGCCAGTCTTTCCCTGGCTTACCAACTCTTGCCTGGTAAGGCGAAATATACCAGAACAAAACTCAGCAGGGAAATATTCCTTTACATTTAAATTCTTTGTTTTATTTTTTCTTAAAAGATAATTTTGTCTTATTTTTGCCTTTTAAAAATACATGCCAATCAGAGCCGACCGGTGTCTTTGTTTCATATCATCTTGATCAACTGAACAGTTTCGATTCTAGGCTGAAAGAAACATATATTTTTCTCTTTTTTTAACCTTTTAACTCTGGTGGATGTTGTAGCTATGCCCCCCTCCCTCCCGAAACGGACGATCAGCTAGGGAAGCCGGTTCCTCTCTCTCTATTCCACGTAAAGGTTATTCTGACTCCAACGGAATAAATATGAAGGGAAGTACAGAGGTCGCTTCCCCGAAACCTACAGAGCTCTCTTCACAATGGCCCGCTTCCCCAAAGCCTCTTTTGTTTAATTTTCGGAAGCTCCTACCGAAGCCATTTGTCTCGTCCTCAAGCGGCCCGACTCGAAGAAAAACAGAATACTTCAATTTCAACTTTTGCCAGGCACACACAAGCGTGTAAACATACTTCCCTCTCTCTTTTTTTCCTTTTGGAGAGAGACTGTGAAAGGGCGGCTACAAATTACACAACACAAGATCCTCTCGGAAAATTTCAAAAGAGGTGGGTGGGAAGAAGAAGAAGCTGACCGTGGGGTAACTGGATCTCTTCCCCTTCCCCCACCCCCGCTCCACCAAGGGAAACGTCTTTGCGGATCCCTCGATCACCTACTTCTCGCTTGCCACTTTCCGGCCTGGTTTCATGCAACTTGTCAATTTCACACCAATTCCGAGGGAGGAGAGGAACCCTGCCCTTCTGAAGCCCTCGTTCCCTACCTCAATCTGTTAAGAATGAACCGAGCCTTGCACAGATTGACCCCCAGCAAGATGAAACGGCGGAGAATGTGATCTCCTTCGTTCCCAAGAAGAAAAGCCGTGGGGTTGCTGTTTGGAGGTACCTACCTCCTCCCCTCCCCTATTTCCTATTTTCAGCAGGCTTGCGGCATCAACAGTTTCGAGAATTGATTTATCTTGAAACAGTCTTTACAGAAGTCGGTCTCTCCCACCCGCCCCTTATAAACTCGCCATGCTTTATTTAAAGATCCTGGATTATTTGTTCCAATAACAATTGGGGAAAGAAACAGGCATACACATAAACATGGCATTTTAGGCACTGTTCTTTCCTCTAAAAGTAATGAGACCAAAGGAAATAAAGTTTGGGAACTGGAAGGGACAGCTTTTCTGGAAGGAGGGATTTTGCATCAGGTTCAGATTGGTTTTTCACAAGATTAATAATAATAATAATAATAATAATAATAATAAGTTTATTATTTATACCACACTTTTAGGGTTCTCCTAAAGAGACTACCGGTAAGGCTTGATTATAACCCACATATATGCACACACATTTATTTATGCATTACATGCAAAACAATACATTGTACATGTTTGCCCATGTGGTGGTGGTGGTGGGAAACAGGCAGTATATGCATATAGAAGTATAGCCGGAGCATTGCAAAGACAGATCCATAAATAGGAACACCAAAAAGGAATATGCGGCCACACTGAAAATGGTATTTTGAGTGTTCAAATTGAGTTACTGACATGCAAATTATGCTCAGGCCTCAGATGAGTAATTTAATTGAGGATTTTCAATGTGTGCATTTATTTAATCAACCAGGCATCTAATCAGCCAAAATCAACAATCACTTGAGATGCTTGCATGTTATGTGCATCTAGGTGTCATTATCACCTACCTAAACAGGCCTCCCAAACATATAATGATACAACCTTATTTATGCAAATTGCCTGATGGAATGGCTTTCTTTTTGTTCTTTCGTTAGTAAACAAAAATGGTAGAAATGGAAAAGCTGTTTATTTGAAAATCCTTTTCAGAATATAGTATTTGTTTGATTAACTGCAGTTCTGTAGTACACCTATGATACTGTGTGAGTTTCTTCATACGTGTCTACACACATACCATAAAATCACACAGTAGAAAGAAGTCCAGTCACCCAGTCCTGACTACAGAACAGGACTATGCAATCCTATGCAGTCTATGCAATCCAAACTTACAACATGCCATGAATAAAGAACAGGCGCATCTCACAAAGATGCTACCAGCCCATGCACCCCAAATTACTGAGAGCTGCTTCCCATACCAAACAAGAACAAAACAAACACTGCAATCCTATGTATGTCTACTCAGAAGGAAACTCACTGAGTTCAATGGGACTTATTGCCTGGTAAATGGATATATGATTGCTGCCTATGGATTTCAGGATATCCTGTAGTAATCTATAACTGTCTTGAAGTCCTTGAATCATTTTTTAACTCACCCAAACAAACATTACTCTTTAGTTGTGTCATTCATAAATTGTTGCATTACATGAGGGGAACTAGTCAGCTGAGCATTAAAAAACCCCAAGCAAACTTTAATATACTTGGGTGGGGTTTTTTTGGTTGCAAAATCAGGGATTGATAACCTGTGGCTCCAAATGTTGTTGGACTACAGCTCCCATCATCCCTAACCATTGTCTAGGCTGGCTGCGGCTGATGAGAGTTGGAGCCCAACATTTGGATAGCCACACTTAGTCAGGCCTGGTCAAAATCTTCAACCCCCCAGAATCCAAATCAAACTTTGTTCTACATCACTGTTGAACCCATATATCTGCATTCAGGTTGATTAGCTCTTGGGGGAGCAAGTCCTGTTAATTCATAGGCAGCAGCAGAAATCAATGGGATTTCCCCCCACATACTGTATTACTGTAGTCACACTGTACATTTAAAGCACACATAAAGCACATGGCTTTAGGGACTGCAGCATCCTCAGCAGATTACAATTTCCCAGGATTCTTTGGGAGAAGCCATGTGCTTTACATGTAGGGTGTGATGGTTGTATGGGGTAGAAATGCACATGCCAACACTAATCAGATTCAGTTGGAGCCCAGATTATTGTCACTGGTTCAGGGCAAAAATGCTTAGGGATGGGATGCCTTTGCTATCAACTTCATAATGGAATTAAACAGGCTCCAGGAGTCTAAGCGCTTGGCTTAATTGCACTGCAGATCACACTGTTGGAATGCTGGGGTATTTAAATGCATGTCTTCCAGCGAGTATAAGCTGTATGCTTCCCCATGCACACCCAGATGAAATAAGAACTGTTCCGTTCTCTGAGTTTTGCATTGGAGAATATCCTAGTATATCTGATCTATTGAAGTCCATGAGTATTTTGCTATTGAAGTCAAAGAGCTGTGCATTGTGCACTAAGGCTCATGCTTTTAACAAATTCCCTACAGTCTTTTTGCAAAGGTTGTTGTTTCCCACTGTTAATCCCTGATAAAGTTTTCCTGCTCTATAAATATAATTTGTGAAAGTGACATGAAAGTCATTGAGTCTCATTTCTTGTCTATGAAACCTTCTTTAAGACTCAAGACTATCCTGTTTTTGTTCTAACAAACTAACATGTCTATCTACCCCTGTGGAAATCCTCTAACATTTCTCAAGAATGATTAACCCTGAAATCCTATATACATTCAGAAGTAACCCGAGTGAATCTAATGGGACTTATTTACAGAAAAGTATGGCTGGACTGGCAGTCTAACAGAGAAGGGTATGTATTATCTACATTCATCCGGATGTTAGTATGGCATAAGCAGGTGAATGGCCGAGGAATCCCATAGCAGAGAGCAAGAGATGTGCTTTATTAAACAAACACAGATTATTCAAGAAAAAAAGAACTTGTTACATGCTACAGGAAAGGTAGCAGCACAGTCTCTACACTATAATTTTCTGCAGAATAGTTATTTCTTTTTGCCAGGAAACTGTGCAGAGATCAGGGAGCTGTAGAACAGAACCCCGAGAATGTCACTAAACTAAATTTGTTGGATGCCCCAGAAACAAAAACACAACCCAGGAGGGAGGGGATCAATCTTAAACCTTGGGTTGTATTCAACTAAGTTTCACCTAGAGTAGATCCACTGAAATTAATGAAGCTAAGTTAGTCATGCCCATTAAATTCAATGGGTCTACACTGAGTATGACTAGCATTGATAGAAAGCCAAGAAATTAAAGTGTCAAAAGGACTACAGTTTTCTGAAGGCAAAATGTTATTTGATATTAATATTAACCCTTGCCTTGCTGTAAAAGGCAGCTCAACTCCAATGGTGTCCATCCCATATTCCTCAGGGCAGGGGCAAATCCAATCCCCAACCAATAGCATCTTCCGCCACACAGTATCCTCCCCTGCGTGAATGTCTTTCACTGCAGACAAGAACAAATGAGTAACGTGTGTGAAGATGAAAATTCTAAACTCTAATCTATTTTCAAGAGTCTCAAAATACAAAAAAGTACTCCTGCATTCATTCAAAAATAGAGATACTCTGAAGGAGCATGCTGATTGAACTCACAAGGCGGCAGCCGGGCGGGGGGTGGCGGGGAGAGCTTTATTCTCAAAACCTTACTGAATTTACACAATTGGTCATGTGATAAAATGTAAACAGTGTTGTTGTTCTTTCTTGGTGTATGCAGTGTTAGATTGGCCATCCAGTTGGCTGTTACAGGCTTACTGGCTGCTGTGATTATCCTGTGTTGCTGCTGTCCTGCAGTCACTGGCCTACAGCAAGGCTGCTGAACATTGCAAATGAAAACAAACAGGCCAGCCTCCCCATTTGAAACAAAAGAGAACTGATGTCCCTTTAGGAAGCTGTAAACATAGACAGCTTGGCTCAGCTTCAAAGACAAGAAACAGGAATTAATGCTCAGCCATGGCCATTTTCTAGAGCAGAAAATGAAATTTTGCATAAATGAAAGTTCGGCTACATTTTAAGAATTCAGATAAATGTCATTGCCTGTGTCAGCATTTTGCTTGTCAGTGATACTGAGGCAAACTTAGTGACATTTTTGACAAACAGGAATTCTTTCCTCTTTGAAGGAGAACCCCTAGCCATCACTGAAACAGTAAACACATTTTACAGAATATCTGTCTGTGGCAATGTGTAAATAAGGTAACAATGATTTCATAGGGCCCAGCGATCTACCTTAAAACAGTAAAGGTACCCCTGCCCGTACGGGCCAGTCGTGTCCGACTCTAGGGTTGCGTGCTCATTTCGCTCTAGAGGCCGTGAGCCGGCACTGTCCGAAGACTCTTCCGGGTCACGTGGCCAGCGTGACGAAGCTGCAGCTGGTGAGCCAGCACCAGCGCAGCACACGGAAACGCCGTTTACCTTTTCGCTATAAAGCGGTACCTATTTATCTACTTGCACTTAAGAGTGCTTTCGAACTGCTAGGTTGGCAGGAGCTGGGACCGAATGACGGGAGCTCATCCCGCCGCAGGGATTCGAACCGCCGACCATACGATCGGCAAGTCCTAGGCACTGAGGTTTTACCCACAGCGCCACCCGCGTCCCTTACATTAAAACAGAGAACATGCCTAACTAACTGCTGATCATCCAGATGCTGAGGAATCCCATGGCAGATAAACCATATAAATAACAGAATCATAGAATTGTAGAGTTGGAGGATCATCTCATGGAATGATATGCTTAGTGAAACATAGCTTACTCAGGAAAACAAACCAAGCTACATGTTACAGGAAAGTCTGAAAAAGCCTTAGGACATATCTATATCAGTTTCACCCAACTTGGTGCCCTCCATATATTTTGGACGACAATTCCCAACAGCCACAATGGTCAGGGAGGAAAGTAGTTTGGAATTCAAAGCATCCTGAGAAAGCTCTCCGGTTTGTGCCTTTGTCTAAATGGGTCACAGCCCCACCTCCCCAGCCAGGGAGCCTCCAGGTGATGTGGGACTCAGTCCCCCGCCCCCGGAGGGGAGTTGGTGGCCACGTGGTCCACTGCAACTCCTCCCCACTGCTACGTGGAGCGGATCTGCTTAAGACCTAGCATTTTTAGGTGGGGCTGGGAAAGTTTCCCTGCCTGAAATTCTGGACAGCAGCTGCCCCGATGGTCTGCTTTGGTATAAGGCAGATTCCTATGTTCCTATGATACCAAACAGGTCATTTTCTGCAACTGACCACACTACAATTCCCAGTGTTCTTTGCACAGGAAGAAAACCATGACAGTCTAAATCATTATATAGCAACGCACCAGACGTTTTTAAGGTTCTGCTCATGACTATCAATCTTAGAGTAGCATCTTAGCATTTCTAAGGAGGAAAAACAAAATAAAAAAATTCCTTCCAGTAGCACCTTAGAGACCAAATAAGTTTGTTATTGGTATGAGCTTTCGTGTGCATGCACACTTCTTCAGATAACTTGTAACTAGAACTAAGGAGGTAAATTATCTAATGCAATGAACTAAGCTTTGGCTAAATTTAGCTTTCAGATTATACATAGCAGATGACAGAAAAAATGATTTCTTTATCTTTTAAAAATTGCAATGGTGTGGTCTATACTTAATCCATCTTTCTGGATGCATGCTTGCATATATTCAAGTGCACTGTCACACAAAGAGATTGAACTGGTAAAGGCTGAAACCACAACTAGTCTTAAAACATATTTTGCAAGATTTTGAGTGCCATGCTGTGCAATGCTATGCATGTAAACCCCACTTGGTCCAATAGTGCTTACTCCCAGGAAAATATACAAAGGATTACAGCCACAAGGTCCCATCTGCCATAACTCTTCAAAAGTAAAATACATTGATGTCTGGTCTTCAGTATTTGTCTATCAAATGAGATATGACCCTGGAGTAGGTTATGTTAATTGGATTAGAGTCCAAGTTGGTTTGCTTGGGGAAGGAATTATTTAAGGCTGAGGTTAGAAATAGTGTTGTGCTGAAATCGGTCTTCCAATTTCTCTGAAGTTTTCCTTCCATCCAAAAGAAGCTTCCATTTGCTTGCCTCATTCTCAGGGAACTTTAAACATTTTTTATTTGAGTTCACACTATCATTGCAAGGTGGGCGAAGGGATGTGTGTTTCTTTCCAGGAAACATTTACCCAGCACACTGCAGCCTTCCTGGCTTCCCACACTTACTTGTCAGAAACAGCCCCAATGATGTTACCTAATGATGCCTCACCCCTGGGTTTTAATTGAGGTGAAGACGCCTGGGAAGGCTGCAGAGTGCACACCACTGTTGGGATTATTTACAGAATGAAAGAAAAGGCACTCCCCTCCAAAGTAACAAAAGTGGAACAAAAATCCTACACCCCAACTATGAAAATTTCACTGAAATCTTCTCTCCCTATTCATTACTTCCAAATGCAATTTATTTTATCATTAAAAACATGGGAGAAAATTTTGGTCCAGGGACTAATAAGAACTCACCTTTGCAACATTGTTTTGGAATGAAATTGTAAAGAAAGCAGCTTTTAAAACTCTCCAGTCCCTAAATGAATTTGCTTCATCCAAAATTATTTCAGTGAAATTACACTTATTTTTTGAAACTTATTTTTACGTTACAATGCTGAGGATAGTGTGGGATGTAAGGGGAAACTCAAATTCCACTTGGCTATTATAGAACCTTTCAAAGAGTTAGTGAATAGACTATGGTAATAAATGAGTATTTTTTTTTTAATTGTTCAGGGTAACATATATCTCCAAAAAGAAAATTGAACATAAAGTGGTCTAGTGGTCTGGTGAAGAATTAATGAAAGAAATGAAGAGAGACAAGTTATCTTAACATTTATCACTGGTAATGTCACTTCTGACTATTCTGCAATGTTGTGCTAGTTTGTCTACAAGTGCAACCTTCCAAACTCTATCATACCAGTTTTGCATAAGTTTTAAAGTCTGAATGCTATGTTTGCTCTGAACACTTGCTCTAAAAAGAACCTGTATAGTTCAAACGACCCACTGAAGTCAATAGGGCTTATTTCTCAGTAGGCCTGCATAGAATTGGGCCACATGTTTCTATTATACAGCACTGAAGGGATTTGTCAGGAGGACGCCTTACTATGCAAATTGTAAGGCAGCAACCCTTGTTAAAGTTAAAACCCATAAAATGCAACTAAAAGATATGCTTATTTCCTCTGTTCACCAACCAAAATATACCTCACTAGAATCTGAAAACGACAGGATTATGGTTTCTTCCAATGGAATAACCACAATTAGATTGTAAGGTCCTCGGGGCAGAAAGTCTGTTTTTAATTTGTAATTTAAAGCAGTATCTCCTCTAAGCAATCAAAACAGCCTAATGCATGCTGGCAACAAGCAGCCTACCAACCAAATTGTAAATACATGTTTCATACCTTTGAATCTTCGTGCTGTATTAGTCAAGCACACAGCAGATGTCAGTACACCACACATCTTAGGGAGGCTGCAATATAGATTATAAATAGAAAAGCACCAATAGCACGAGTTAGGTGCTGCTAAGTGCGGCGCAGTGACAGTAATGAGTACTGTACCTCTCTCATCCATGT